AGTGTACGGTTGATGGGTCAGCCAGGAGACCCTGGTGTGCCACAACTTCCAATTTTACGCAAGACGGACAACGGGAATACTGCGAATGTGGGTAGCTCTTAATCTCATTTTTAATTAATAAACTCCCTCTTTTAGCTTCTTATCGCGAAAGAGTGTCCTTATGTGTGTGGAGGTCATGTAGATGAATAGATTTAAGTGAATTTACAACGTTTTTGATGAGCTTAAAGTTTACTGCAATTCCGATAGAGTGGTGATAGCATCTAATTTAGATGTTAGAGTTAGAGCATTAGAATAAACCATTTTTAGATCCCACTTTCATCTTTTGCATATGACTTAGCATTTATTTGTTAACATTGGGCCACGATTGCGAGATGTATTGATGCAATGCTTTGTACTATCCGCCAGAAGGCGAAATATGAGGGGGGGTAAGACGAACAAAGGCCTTGACGACAATTACTGTCTAGCGTAAACACTGTCCTAAATATTTGTGTTGCACGCTAATAAATTATCTCCCATAAAGATAACGTCACTTTTACAACTTGAAGTTACGCCTTCCAAATCGGAATTTGGCCTTTCATTTTCTAAATGTGAATTAGTTTCCATCTACAAGCTCTCTTTACTGAAAAAAAAAAAGAAAAAAAAAGCTAAATGAACGTTTGTTGCTTCATTAATCTCTATTTTTCTTATCTTAGTGCAAAAAGGATGGTGTCCTTCTGGGTGGTTCCGTCTAAAAAGCAGTTGCGTTTTCATGGGAAAGGATCCAGCTCGTCTCGATTATGATGATGAAGTTGGAGTGACCTTTTGGAGAAAGGCGCGTGAGAAATGTAACGAGAAAGGAGCGGACCTCATGATCGTGCGAGATAAAGCAGACTTAAACGGACTAGTATCCATGTACTACCAAGCTAGAGTTAGTATCCGTAGACCTCTTTTTTTAGGATCACGGGAGTATTTCAACACTCATTGGAAATGGCTTGACGGTACTGAGGTTAATCCAGCTCTCTGGGGGAACGGAGAACCAAAACCAATTCATGGAAGATGTGGAGTGATCGAGGATTTCAGAAAGAGGTGGTTTGACAGAGGCTGTGGTTGGTGGTTAGCAGCAAGGCCCTGCAATAAGATAAGAAGGGCTTACATATGCGAGTCTCCATTGAGTAAGTATTAGGGATTGTTTCTATAAATTGTCGTTGTTAATGAAACATTGCAAGTTTAAAGAGTGTCTTAATGAACTGAGGAGTATTGAGGCTAAAAGACTTCATAGACCAATTTTTTTAGCCAACAGAACCTGCAAACAAGGATATTCATTAGCAGAGGATCGCTGCTATAAGATAGTCACCTCTCTTCGTCTTATTTGGGAGGATGCCCAGTGGGACTGCTTAACCCAAAACAGCAGCTTAGCGGTTATCAACACTAAGAAAAACTTTGAAAGAGTCGCCTCACTTCTATCAACGGTGAAGTGGCGATATAGCTTCTTCGTCGGGCTTGTAAGGAATTTGAGCAGCTGGTCATGGATTGATGGAATATCAATTGACCCATATCTGTTTCAAGCTGGATATCCCAAGATAAGGGATAAGGAAGAAAATTGTATAGCGTTTTCTGGGTACACTCCTGACATTATAAATGTGGGGTGCAACAATGGTTATGCCTACGCCTGTCAAAGTGCTCAAGGTAAGTTAACTGGTTCATATCTTGGATTTGGTAAAAGAACTTAAGTACAAGACTCTATATCAGTACTGGGAAATTCTTTTTCATCCTTCTTCCGTTAATTTAACCAATGTTGAAAAGGCCTCAACGTCCTTTCCAAAACTGCACCCAAACAGTCCGTTTGTGTTCATCAGGCTCAACTTGCTTATTACGGTACGTGAACTGCGAGGCGGACAGAAATAGCACCAAGAATGGTCATGACGACAAATGTCAAGCCTGTTTGATTTCTTTTAGATGTCACAAACGACGCGAGTGCGAGACATGAACCAATTTAAGTGCCCTTATGAAATAGTAGTGTGAACAATGAAACAATGCAGAAGTCAACCATATAATAAATTATCGGCAAATACTGGATGGCCTTTCAATCTTCTGGTCCTTTATATTTTATTTCAGCCGTTGTAGGAAATGTTGCATTTGGAAGTCTGACGGACCATTCAAGTTTGGCTACAGGAAGCAATTCATCATTTGTAGTCGATGACAATCTCACAACTTGTTTCTCCTCTAAAGTGGTAAGAGAACAGAATGCATATACATATCTTCGTATATTTTAACGAAGTGAACACCATTACACCGTCGTTTCTCAAGGATTAAGATTGCTAATAAATTACAGTAGAAAGAAAGTTTTGTAGCTATGTCACCATTCAAGTGGTAAATACTTGGTGACGCGGTTATTGACGTGGACCAGCCAATCATATCGTTTACCAAAATACACTCAAACCTTAATGGAGCGGTCACCCACTGGAGTGGCTGGATGACCGCTTAATACAGGTTCCGCAGAAGAGGGGTACCACTTAATGCACAAATACTGGCTCAAAAATCCTACTTACGTAAATTTTGTGAATGAAAACATGGACTAAACTTTACTACGAAGATTATCCTTAGTTTTACTCGAGTAGTTCCGCTCTAAGTGACTATTCAGTACAGGTGGAAGACAATAAAAACAGGCGGTTGGGACTCACTCAAAGTGACCACGACTGCTTAAAAGGGGTGTCTGTTCAATAGAGGTAAAAATACAACGAGTAGGGAAAATCAACTTGGGACATAGGCAACCGAACACTTATTACTGGTTCGACTATAGCACAGTTACAGCCTAAAACTGAAGAGATACTCAAGAAAATAAAAATGATACATAACGCATTACTGATATTATCCTAACATTTGTGGCTAGGAAGAGAGTCCATGGCTCGAAATAAAGCTAGTGAAATGGTTTTACATCTACAAAGTGACCATAAAAAATCCCAAGAACACAAGTATCCCCGAACCTCTCACAGTGTCGATCATTTCACGCAATCGGAATGGTGAATCTACCACTTCTGTGTGTACAAAGAAAGGGAACTCTTCGTACTTGGAGTATCAATGTATTCCTCCAGTGAGAGGTGACACTCTGTACATCAAAGGGTCCAAATTGAACACAGCGCTGGTTTTGTGCCATGTCAGTGTTTTGGCATTCGGTTAGTTCTAACTTTTCGTTGTTTTTCACTGCGGCCCTCACTATTTCGCACGTAGTTGGTTTATAATCTGCTACAACGTTTTGGAAATATCCAACCAATGCAATTGTTGCCCGGGTCATTTTGAAATAAGTAGAGGAAGCACACAATTCAGGAGATGTGATATCGCTTTGCATTTTGTTTTCCCTTCTTATCTCTAACACTAACACCTAAGAGCTAAACAATTAATCCGGGTTTAAATACGCTTGGCTCATATGTTTTCCTAAATTTCTCTCGCACTCAAAAGTATGTGCTATGAATTGACCCTTGTCATCCGTAGAAACAGAAGAAAATGCAAAAGGAGTACTTCGAGAGGTCTGGCTTTCAGAAACAGCTGACGAAAACCCACTTCTTCTTAGAGACCTGAGTGCTTTCACCAGACAGAGAGACCTTTGGAATATAATTCCAAGAATGGATGCAACGGTCAATTTAGGAAAATTTTATGCTCAGAAACTAAATGCTTACATGAAGGTAAATTAATAATAACAACGATTATGATAATAATAATAACAATAACACCAATGCTACAGCAATGTGGTTATTTTGTTACAATTTAGTGTAAACACGCTTCAAGGAAAGACGAGGTTTTTCATAACAATGTGCTTCCTAACGTTTTAGCAAAAACTTATCCGCCTTCCATAATATCGACTACAGAAATTACAAAAACATAGGCAAATCAAAAGGAATAAGTGAAGGAATGGATAGATAAATAAAAAGATAAACTGTCTAGACTTGTTTAGCTTTTCTTTGCTTTTACATACACCAGATTTTTCTTTTCAATATGCCATGGAAGAAGAGTTAAAAAGACGCGAAATATCACAAAGAAATATCACAATAATTACTCAGGGAATTTAATTAAGCCACTTATCCATGGGAAAGACTAGTCATTCAGAAAAGCAGTCGTACAATTTTTTACTGGTTATAATAAACATATTCAACATTTCTCACCTCAGGTCACTGATTCTGGCTACCACACATTTTACATGACGTGCAATGATGAATGCGAGTTGTGGTTTGATGGCGTTGAAGATCTAGAAGGGTTGGGGGCTGGTCAGTCCGAGAGAAAAATGTTGATAAAGCTGGTTGATATGAAGACTTTAGAGCGTCTGACGTGGGATAGGTATGCTCACAGTATAATCTTAGAGTAAATCATCGGGGAGAATTTTTTCCGCTTCTGTTTTGTAAATAGTTCTAAACTTTTGAACCGAGTTGAGCGTGGTTTTTGTCACAATTGTCTCGTGTATCGTATTTTGAGCTTTTAAAAAAAGTTTAATCGCCGGTTTATGATTAGTTATTAACTCCAAGCAAATCAGGATAACGGTTTCATTTTTCTTTCCTCAAACCTGCTGATAGTTAATTGCAACCATTTTGTGTTCTTAGTTTTGAAGTTTTCCCAGTTTACTTGTTTCACAAAATTTCAACTTTGATTATTAAAAGTATAGTCAATCTACGCAGGAAACTTTATTTATTTTTCCATTAAGATTTCTTTCTGGGAAATAAAAAAAAAAACATTACTTGTCTTTTGCCAAATCTGACCCATATGTGCTCTATGGTTGTTTGAGTTCCACTTGCATGATTACAGGCCGAATTGAACTCTACTCATTCCTATTTCTGTTATAAATCAAGTTGTCTCTAATGTCAATTTGCTTTCGCAGGTCGCTCAGCAAGCAAATTTCACAACCCATATATCTTTCTCGTTGTCATCTTTATAACATTGAGGTCTTTATGAGGGAGTATGTCAACGAAGATCACTTGTCTATTGGAATCAAGTTTCCTAATGGGGAAGAACAAAAACCTGTTTACGCCAAAAATCTCTTCTGGCTAAAAACAGGTTTGACCTTTTGCTTTGTTTAAGATTTCACCTAGTAGTAAGTGATGTTTGATTGATACAGGTAACATTTTTTGGGACCAAGAGAGGATAAACTGCTCTCTTTCCGAAACTTACAGCGTGAAAATTCACCTAAGATGCCAGGGAAGCAACGGGGAAGGTCACTTTTTGGTTTTAGCTTTGTTTCAAATGAGGTTTTCATTTGAATATAGGAATGAGGATCCCTCTCATTCGTTGCCTTTGATTTTTGTGACACATAAAAGGAATTATGTCTATTGGGGCCCAGTAATTTTAAGTTGAAGGTATGGTATTTTCTAAGGTCTTGCTGGTAGTTCTATTTAATAAGGACAAATTCCTGTGGAAGTCTATATTCTATATTTAAGGGGAAAAGCTTTCGCATAGTTATATTGGAAATTATCAAGGCGACTGTTTTTATTCAAAATCACTTTGTTTCTTTCTTATACACGTAATTCACAAAATATGTGCTTGCTTCAGTTCCATAATCACCTCGTTCGTGATGATTATAGCAAGACATTACACAATGTAAAAACCAATCAGAGTCATTGAACTGATATGAATTTTAAATTATTTTTTGCATCCTGTGTTAGGTGAGCGGAGCCTCGTCTTCAGCAACATACGATTCGAGCCCGGTAATAAATTTACGGCGGAAGTTGGATCTATCATATCGATAGCAGGTTTGCACAGATGCCTCATATCCGAAGAGTTAAAGTGGCTTTAACATGATTTTTCAAATACAGCTCAGTTATCAGCTCAGTTCACTGGAAAACTGCAGTGCAAGACGTCTGAAAATGTTTTTGTTTTACCAAAGAACTTTCGAGCCTTGATGTAAACAAAGAAAGAATTAAAATTTTAGCTAAATTAACTGGTGAAGAAATTTCTTTCCAGACACTTTTTTTTCTATTCAACATCACGCCGATCATAGATGGTATTAAAGCGTCTATTTTGCTTATCAAAACAATAACTATAACATAGAGTTGAAAGGAGGATGTTATTTTTTTGTATGATTTCGAGTTATTCATATTTGCAAAAGTTGATTCAAAACATCCGTTTAGCCTGCTAAAGTCCTTTCAATTTTGGAATGTTTCTGTTGATTCTGTTTAAATGAGTAGGTGGAAAAAGAAGTCTATAGGGATTCCTCTAGACATGAACACAAACAGTAACCAAGACGATCTGCGAAAATATCCTGTTCATGTAATTCTATACAAATATAGGCTCCTACAAATACTGCTGTCAAGGGATTTTCTGTCCAGACTGTGATCTTAGAGTGGCTATATCGGTGTTTTACACCGAGTACATCATCAATTCCTCTCTGTCAATGAATTGCCGAGAAAATTCATTCAATATTTCACTAGAAGCAGACGTAACACCTGGATTCTACGGCATTCAGGTGAGCAAACATGTTGTTTCCCATATAACTCAGTGCTTTTTTTTCAGTTTCGATTAAGTAGAGCTTTAATATACTATTGCAACTTGACTAACAATTCCTTACATGAAATTATGTGGGCCTTTCTGTGAACCTGGACGATTATCCAAAGATGCTATTTTATTTTAACATGCATATAAATAACATTCTTTGAACCTTGAATGTTACCTTCTTGTGTAGAATACACATCTTTATCAGTAAAAAGACCCAAACTTCGATAAAAAACAAAACATTGATATCAAATTTCGCTTCTGTAGTCATTAAGTAAAGCTTTGCTGCTCACTAAGTACTCGCTAAGTAAAAAAGGTAACAGCACTTTTCCGCAAAGTAAGAAGCATCTTTCATACATTAGCAATGCCACTAGCATTTTACTGTTGTGTTCAAAGGAGCTGATGTGAAATTAATAATTGAACACCCAAAAACATGGAGTGAACAGAATATCGTTAGTTAGATATCTGCATTGAGATAAGTTGTTCAGTTTCAATCACGATGACTTTTTTGGCAACAAACAACAGTCTGGATAAAATGTAGTTCTAAATCATACCTCAAAACTGATGAAGTTTTGGTATTTTTACTCAGGCCCAGTATTCTTTTGTTGATGAAAATGCCACAAAACACCTTGAAATTGCTCAAGTATCCATGACAGGTTGGTCTTCTTTTCTCTTTTGATTGAAAGAAGTAACATTCAAGCAACATAACGGTCGTAGTCGTAATCATAACGACAACCAACAGTAAAAGCCATAATGATATTGACGATTAAGATTTCAATTGTGGCGTAATAATTTTAAAGCCATACCAGATACGATAATTATGCTATGAGACTTTTGACGTTTACTGGGAATTCTCAGTAAGACTTTCAGGGTTAATCCATACTTTCATTTTTCAGCTGCGGTTCTAAGTCAATGCAGTTTTTTTAATGATCTCTGTCAATGGAAAGAAAAGACCACAAACGGATCTTCGTGGAAAACAGGAGGAGGTAATAGATATCTGCTTGTTAACACTTAGCATTGAAAACAATTGCTTTCAACATGATATGATGTCAAGTAAGCCCTCGTTAGGTCATTAAAAAGCAAGTGTTGAGAGCACAGGAAACTATTATTTTATCATGTCATATCTTTTCCACCTTTCCAATGACGCTAGAAACTGTCGATGAAGAGAGTTATTTCTGGCAAATGAGTTTTCAGGAGAGGTTTAAAAGTTGTACAAATCGACGGCAAACTAGGAAAATTCCTTATTCCGGACAATTTTTTAACTTTCTTTCGTAAGAGACGACTTTTGGCATTATTAAGAAACCAAAGGGGCTCATTACCTTCCACCGTAACGATTATTTTTATCATCATTGTCACATTTTGTTTATCTCACATCCTTTTTGAGCTTAATTCTCACGGTTAGGTTGCATCAGATTTGGAAAAACTTTGGTTCAACTGTCTATGTTTGTTCTCAGATTACCAAGGTGCTTATTTACTGGGTGTCAGCGAGGGCTCTCTTGAAAGTCCAAAGATGCCTTGGAAAGAGTCATTTAAAGAAACGTATTCGTGTTTGCAATTTAAGTACATCTTACCAGGCACAACAACAGAAGGAAGAAATTCTACCCTGGAAGTTTTCGTCGGTAACGAGGAACAGATGGCTCTGCTTTGGAGAGTTCAAGGATACCATGGAAACAAATCATCACGAGGCTACGTATCGTGGGAATCCAAAAAAGATGTCATGGTAACAATAATAATAATAATAATATATAGAGAATGATACGTGGGCGCACGTGAATGTGGAATTTCTCTACGAGTGTTTAACTCTATAGCTCACGAGTGAGCGCAGCGAACAAGTGAGATGTCGAGTTGAACACGAGAAGAGAAATTTCATACCTACAAGCAACCATGTATTATTTTGTTTATCATATAAACACAATAGCCCTTTACTGATAAGAAAAGGTGACATTCATTCATTAATGAATGAAAATAAATGAATCGACAGTCCCCGAATAACAATCGTAGAGTGCGTTGGCGCCACCTCTTAATATGGAAAAATGCGTTGAATCATGATTACAAAAACAACAGTGGTCGTAATTTTCCATTTACAAAATTCTCATTTAGTGACTTTGTCCTTACCGACAAAAGAAGTCTTTCAGGTAAACGGCCAAAATCGGCCAGTGGCAAATCTTTCAGCTGTCGATTTTCATTCCCAGCCACGAGAAATGCCAACACCAAAGCCACTGAATACGTAACTTTCGGTTTTTCTTTTCGTGTATTGGTTTTTTCCCCTTTTAGGAAAGTTTGAACTGCACTGTCTGTCAGCGATACGGATTTTTTTAGTGTTTTAGCCGCCATAATCCGAGAAAGTTCCGACAAACTACCTTGCATTGATAATCGTGAAGGCTTTGCCGCTCATTCATCAACCTGACCGAGTGGCGCCAAAGGCGAGTGACGTATCAGCAGCTGATTGGCTATATCAACACATGTGGAAAAAATACGATATTTTTTCACGTATGTTGTTACGGCTTTTCTCAGGGCCGGAAATCCTTGTATAGCACCGCAGTTTATGTGATAAAATAAATTTTTATATCGTCGTCTCTACAAAGTATCCTACGGCGTATGACATCATTGAAAGCTAAATAATTAAATGATTAAGAGCAGAATGTCTTGGTAAAAACACATTTAAAAGAAAGGTTTAAGCCACCTTATTAAAAATATGCAACACATCCACTAAAAATACGTTCATGAGGAAAAGTCTTGAGGATAGATTTAAAAATGGTCAACGACATGCACCTCCTCATATCTACCTGAAAGGAATTCCATGTTATATGAATAGAATGTATTATATACCAAAAAGCTCTTTGACCATAAATCCTTAGATTACATCTTGGTGTTACAAGTAAAAATTTACTAGAGGAGCGCAATGTTTTCGGAGGAATGTAAGGCAATAGAAGCTCCTGTAGGTAAATAAGTACCATGTCATTTGACGAATTAAATGTCAAAAGTAGGATTTTTTGTAATCAATCCGTTCGGCGGCTGAAAGCTTATATAACTCCTGTACTATGGGTGAGACGCAATCATATTTCCGTCGTACAGTATATCAAGATACCGGTTGAAGTTAAAAACACATGATAGCTATTTTTTTTCGACCCTGTAAAGTACAAAATTGTTACTTCCTTGAAATTCATATCCACCAAAAAACATAAAAAATTACGTTAACGGAAAACATGGAATACATTGTTGTGTACTTCAGTCAGTAACATATAAATGGTTTCATTAAATTGTGGATGAAACTTATTTGCCTTGATTTAGTCCTTTTTATTTGAATCTAAGCCCTTCGATCATTTTATGGTAATTTTTAGTTTAAATCAATTTTTTTTAGATTGAGCTTAAGGCAACTAGCTACGGGAAAGCTTCAGCTGTAATTCAGGAAGTAAAAATTATCACCAACTACTGCGAAATTTTCCCTTTGTTCGCCATGCCAGGTTTGTAATACAGTTCAATAAATTTATTTCATCAACTTGAGTAAATTATAGTTACTTAGTAGTTAATCTTGTATTTAAAATCATGAATGCAACACAACCGGTCAGAGTAACGTTGTACAGTTTGAATTTTAATTATAAGGATTTTAAGCAGCCTCAAGATTCCAGATTTACACCGGAATAGGACCAACATTGGCTGAAACGCTTGGGCGAGGGTTGCTACAAATAAGTTAATTTTCGGAGGGCATAATTGTTTCCATATGACTACCATTTCCATGGGATGTTATTATTTTGCAGGTCACAGCTGTAGCAAAGAAGAATTCCAGTGTGAAAATTTGCAATGCATTAAAAGTGTCCTAAGATGTGATGGCGACTTGAATTGTTTGGACGGATCTGATGAGGAAAACTGCCAATGTCTAAACGGTCAGTTTTCGTGTTCCTCGGGGACATGCCTGCCTCCAGAAAAACTGCGAGATGGCAAACAGGACTGTGTTGACGGGCAAGATGAAAAGAAAGGAGGAGGTAAAATGGTTTGTGCAAAAATTGTTCCTCGTCAATATCTTAAATTTTCTGGATTTCAGTAAAGCCTTGATTACTCGGACGTACGTCAAAAGAACAGTAGTCAATCTTCCCTTGAGCTTGGCATAACTTACATATTAAATGCATGCTGATCTGCTCGATGATTCTAGCATGATATGCATGAAAGGAAACGATGTGCATGTAGGTACAAAAGAAAAATGTTTTTATTTATTAATTTATTAATTTTTTTGTTCTGGCAAATCATTTTTTTAGCTTAAAGCCCACTTTTTGTTTTTGATTTTTCTCTTCTCAAGTGAATCCGAATTCCAAGTATCCTTGTTTTGACGGTAAGGCGATCTCTTGGTCCCAGACATGTAAAAAAACAGAAAGTTGTGCTGACAGCAGCCATTTTTCTGCCATTTGTGGTAAGTTTTACAACGGTGTCTTGATATCTTATTTCTTGCCATGTGATTACTGATAAAACAAAGCTCAATGTAATCGCAAGAAATCAAAATGAGCTTCTAAATATGCACACTTCTCACAATTGACTAAATTTTAGCCAAGTAAAAATTTGGATTTATTCAAGTTATGTGGGTTTTTGGATTTCAGATCTGAGGATGACGATACTTTTATCAATAATCATAATGGTTCTTTTTAAAATAAAATGAATATTGAACTGATATATAATTATGATAAAGAGAGTTGAATCGTGTACCTACTTCTTTTAAAAATAAAACTTTACTGTCACTTGCTATTTAAAGGGAAGACGGAATGCCCGCTGAATGACTTAGCTTGTTCAAAGCAAACAGGGGATGCGAAGAAGGATAAGGAAGACGCTTGTCAGATTCCTTTTCGAGGTAAAAATATGAAAAAGTGCAGGACGGAGGATTGTAAAAAATGTGAAAACCAAGTCTTGCCTTATTACAGCGTTTTTTTTTAACAATTATTTTCTCGTTCATTCTATACTTTGCTGTTAGATGGCTGTTGAGTTTTGAAATTGATATTTCATGAAAGTCGGCCAACAGTTGGACCGTGATGGAATACAGATTTCTTCTTGCAATACTAAAACTTAAAATTATTGCGATATTGTGTTGCACTTTGGCTCAGATTTAGACTAAATCTTATGTTCGTAATGGCAAGAAGAGAAAAACTCAAATTTAGTCGCGTTATTAGAGGTTATTCAGACCACGCTTATTTCCCAGTTTTAACATGTGAAATAGTAAGTGATGAAATAAGTATAAACTGATTACCCTTAATTGGTAGCTGTACATAAGCGAACGAAGAATTGTCTAGAACCAAATAGTCAGAAGGGAACATAAGTCAGTGACGCTGAACTTACCATCAATTTTGCCACTATATTTCAAACTTAAACTCTTCTGTTTTTACCCCATCGATATTTCACGTGGTATTTCATTTCTTATCAAGGTCACTACAAACTTTTCTTTTTTCTCCTATTAAATGTAAATTTTCTTTTTAAACGATTTTAAACAGCATACAAGTATTTAGAAAAGAGCCAAACATTCAGAATCTTTTATTTTGACTCTGAATCAGTGAGCTCACTTTGAACTTCTTTTATTTAGGGAGGACGTATACAAACAGTATCAGACTTGCTTCTTTTTCCTTCCTAAAGTTCAAAGAATATGTTTCCCGCTCGGTTCTGTTTCAGGATCATGCAGTTTTCAGAATGGTTTGTGTGGATTTCAGAATGGTATTAACAGTGAATTTCAGTGGACGACAGAAATTAGAGGAACCCTATCAGAAGGCACAGGACCTTCCTTTGACCATACCACTTTATCAGACCAAGGTGTTGTGTTTTTACATCTCATATTTATAGATATATATATATCTGAATAAGAATTATAATTGACCGGAAAAATCTTTCACATTTGGAATTTCATTTAGAGTTCAGAGTTCCTAGAACACTATTGTTCGAAAAAAGTTAGAGTTCGTTTTAAAGCAGATTCAGCGCTAGCTAAGCAAGAAAATTCCCAAGATTTAAAACAGGTGTTATGTCAGCAGATAGACGTGTACTTTAACTCGAAGGTTATTGCACATTTGTTACCACTGGAATCATAAACCTGAAGTCTACCAACCTGCACATTATTGAAGAGATCAACTTGAGTGAAGAGATTGTGTCAAGACCATTTCACTTGTTCTAAGTAGTGCAGGAGATAACCTTCATCAAAATTTAATCGACGCATCTTTGGCTAGTTTTGTCAATCTTAAATAATTTCGTCCCATATCGCGTCAGGTTACCCACAATTCATGAACGCATCTCGCTCTCAACATTAAAGAGAAGATTAATAGTTAAAGGGCTTACTAAAAAATAAAAATACTTGTTAGGCCGTTACCTTTATATCGAAGCATCAAACAGACAAGCTGGCGATAAAGCGCGATTACAAAGCGGCTGGTTCCTACATGCTCCAGAACTTTGTCTTCAGTTTTGGTACCACATGTATGGAGAAGATATAGGGTCTCTTAACATTTACATTGGAGCAATGAAATCAGAAGAAAAGGTTTGGAGTCAACAAGGGAACCAGGGAGATAGATGGATTTTTGCGCAAGTTCCTATAAATTCAGGAGGTCATGAAAGACAATTTCAGGTGAAACAATATTGCGTGCAAATAGAATACTTCATTGTCTTGGAGACTATATTTTCAAAGTACTTTTCCATAATCGCAATGTTAAGTAATTTATATACTCAATGACTCAACCGTTTCACTTACATTGACGACACATAAAAAAGAATCACAAGAAAAATCTCGGTTATTTTATCAATTCTATTTTCATTTCATTTACTTAGTGGGAAAAGAGACTATTCCGTCAACCAATTCCTATAAACTTCCAAAGAGTTTCTGTCCATTTGATAAAAGCTGCTCATCTTTCGCTGCATCGACATATTTTTCAGGAGTTATTAGAGATGGGATGACAAATTACATTTAAATTTTGAGTAATTTGTTAGAAAGCGTAGAGGAATCAAGAACATAAAAACAGAGAACGCTTGATTAGTAGCGAATAAACATTTTTATTCAGCCATTTAGGCTAAATAATTTCAAGTCTTTTCAAAATTGCTATGGATATCCTTCACGCTATATAGGGTTTAGATAACAAGAGTTTTATGATAAAATCTAAAATTGTTATGATTAAAGACGCCATGCCAACACTGTATACTTAATTTTAGATCCTAATAGAAGGTGTGATTGGAGGTGGAAGCTCAGGGGATATAGCTATTGATGACATCACTGTTTTAACTGGAAGCTGCATTAAAATCGTTAAACAGGGTAAGCTTAACTTGAAAAAGGTACAAAGTCAAAATGGGACTGCAAAATATGTTTAAAAAATTCACTTAGGTACGCAACTCATTGCCTTAAAATGCTGACCCAGAATACATGTTGCCAGATCTCGCGCGCGATGTTGAGTTTCGTTGGCGTTACGTTATTCTTAAGTTCTCAAAGGGAAACCTATTCCCTATGAACCTAATTGCCGGAAATTTTTATTTATTTACTAAATTGGAATAAGAAAATATTGTGTAGATGTGGCAATTTAAGGGAGGTTAATCCCACCCTAGGAATTACTGAGTTATATTTTTCTTTAAATTACCTCTTTAAAATAAATTTTATGCCTTCTTCAGAAACTCTGGATTGCTACTTTGAAAATGGACTGTGTGGTTGGACTGGGGAAAACGACTGGAAGATAGAGAGCACTGTAAACAATGGTATTGAGAAGTAACTTGTTAAGAATTCATCGGCTCGTTGATTTTTTTAGCTTAAAATTACAAATCATCAATGTAGAGTGCGATGAGAGGAAACACCTTAATGATTATCATAAGCATTCGAATTTCACAAAAAAGGTGGATTGTATTGATAATGGAGATAAAATGGTAAACCCAACAGTAATAAGAAACAACTCGATTGACATATGTTTTAAGCTGAGCTGGAAAAAAAAGCTAGGTAAAGAAGAATCTTTTCAAGCACAATTTTTTGTCGAAGGTATGTGACCATGATCCTAACTAAAAACCTCTAAAACCAAATTACCTAATGGCTTAATTGTCTCTACTCCACATTGTGTAACGCTTTTAGGTGCTTTTTTGAATTTGAAAATTTTCTTTGCCTCATCAGGTAAATTCCTCTACTTCAAAACAGATCGCGCTGAATTAATTAGTAGAACCTTGATAACAAAAGAGCTAACCCAAGCAAAGGAATGGCGGTGCTTAACATTTTGGTATTTCATTGGCGAGGAGAAGAGGACGCATACCAATGAGAAAGTGGTGGAACTCAACGTTTCTGCTCTTCACCCTGATAATAGCAGTGATGTCACTACTCTGTGGTCCACTTCTTATCGTACAAACCGGTGGACGTATGTGCAGCTGCCTCTTCACTACAGAGAGAGTCCCTTTAAGGTAAACATAAAGAAGTACAAACATTTATTACCACAATTAAGTCAGGCAAATTAGCGGAAATCACAGGGCTTTAAAACGATTGTTTTATTGTTATTAATTAGATTTGAGCGCTTTGAGGACAAACCATTAAAAATTCCATATATAGCTGTTACGTAAAATTCTCTTGATAATAACTTCGAAATTGTGATACTCAGATCTTTATTAATTAGTCACGCAATTAGAGTTGCCATGCTTGTAGTTATTTACCTCATCAGAAGCCTATTGACCGTAGTTTTGGTAAACTGATAGAACAGCTTGGACTGACATATCCACCTTAATCTTGGCCGTAATTCAACTGAATTCGAAATTTGTTCGCAAAGTTTTCCTTCTCGAAAAGTAACTCAAGGTCAAATAAGGTTAGCATCTCAAATACCGTTTTTCTTGGTCCTTGTTTTAATAACAGATCTTGTTTAGAGGAACCCTAGATTCTGCCGAGGTTGTATTCCTGGGCATTGATGACATATCTTTTTCCAGAGAGAAGTGTAACGCTATTCCGAACGATGAGGGGAAAGGTATGTCTTGTTTCGCTTTGCTTTGTGAGTTGGCTAAAACATTCGTTTACCACAGTAGGAAATAGTAAACCAGTTCCTAAGTTGTCTCGCGAATGCTTTTTCGGGACCAGCAATGTTGCAAAAATCCGTCTATCTGTCCAATTGGGTGCTTAACAATCTTCATTTCCAAGGAGCCTTTGGTTTTTTGCATAAGTGGCAACAATAACCAACGCAACGTTGTGATGTTTTGATGGAAATTTAGCGTCAGGTTTACGAATCAGTTAATCTTCGCCCTTTACGACGAAAGTATTTGATTCCAGCTTTAGGAAAGTGTCTGAAAGAAAGTTGACTCAATATTCCCCTATTATTATTATTAATATTGAGTGATTAAACATAAGCAGAACACAATCTCTAATTTTCAATTCGTGGGTCAAAATAAATTTTTAGAAATATAACTGGCTTACTATTCGAGGAGGCTGGTATCAAAATGAAAACGTAAGGGCGCTTTTTTCGAAGATTTTAAATTGCAAACCCTTGGTTTTTATTCTCTTAGCTTTTTCGATTAACACGAGAAGAAAATTGATCACTTAAGGTTTGAAAAATTGTATGAGTTCAAGTCTTCTGTCATTCGTTATTTATTTTGTGAAGTGGTATCATTGCCCATCTGTTGTCGATATCTTGTTCTTGACATAGAGTAGTCACTTACCTTTCTATCTTCTTCAGACATATGCACCTGGGTAACCGGCTACCACACCTGCTGTAGATTCCCTTTTGTCTATGAAAATACTCTGTATCACTCCTGCACAGGAGACGATAACGACAGACAGTGGTGTTATTTTGGAGACGATGAGTTTGATGCTGGTGGCTGTGATGGCAAGATTCAATCTTTGTCTCATATTTTTATGGCTCAGAGCCAAAGGAAGATTTCTTATTCTTGGCGCGCGTACCTTCACGCTATACTAAACCAAATAAAAACTAGTGGATCTCTTGGCCTTGAGTCACCATCACCATATTTGGATGACGTTTAAGAATAAAAAAAATCCAAATAATTTTTAGAACCTTTAGGAAACGCTCACAAGTAGGTGTGTCGAAAAAACATTCTGAACTTTTTCACCGAATGTGTTACTGAGACATCTCTGAGGTAAAAGTAACAGACGACAGTTATGCAGCCAAAAAAATCAAACGCTCCAGAGCCTACCATAATCAGTGCCAACAGAGATGATGATCCAAGTTTTTACGAAACTGTTAACTGTTGACAAGTGTCAAAAAAAAGTAAATGGCGTTCGAATGTGCTAATTCCTTTTTTCCACTACTGTTAATGTAGTGTTCAGAACTGCGATGATCACTCTCGTCTTTATTTATCAATCTGCAGTTAAAATATATCATATTCATATATTCGCAGTCGTTCATTCATCAATTATGACTAACTACAAGTTGGCGTATTAGCTTATTTGGTAAGGCACCGGTATCGAAGAGGTCATTATTCATTATTTCATTTTCTAGATAAATGTCTTTGGACAACAGAAAGTGGAAAATGCTGTTCTTTTCCGTTTGAATATAAAAACAGAATCTATTCTTCCTGTATTACGACACCTGACAAGCCAAGACCATGGTGCGCTACAGAATTGTTCTACGATTTTAATGGCTTACACTGGGACTTCTGCAAAGGTAATTTTTGATATTTGGCCGACAATTTGTAGTTATTGTCCTTTAAAAGAAACGAGCCTTAAAAGAGCACTGCGACATCATGCGTTCTGGGTCTCATTTTGGCAGAGAGGGGCACCTTTTTTTAGTTTGAAATGCTGCAGAATATTTCATGAACGAGTGGTGGTGGTTATGCCGCTTTCCTATAAATTGAACCATTTCATTTTATGACATATTGCCGGCGCAAGTTTTACCTATTTCCTAAGAGGATGGCATGGTAAAAATCCTTATGTACCACACGGCCGTGCATCAATAACATGACTTGAACAGTCTCACTTCGGCTGCAAGTTCCCGTCGAGTTTAGCCGCCTTATAAGAGAATTGCTTCATGCTTTTAGCTGTGCGTATATTGAGTTATGGATGCATTCAGGAAGCCATAGATGCTTGCGCTTCTTTCGTGCTCTCCAAACTTTCCTCCATATACACACGCCAGGCATGAACCAATTCTTTGATACAAATTAGGTAAATAGGTTCCATTTATATTGATTATCCTAATACGCTCAATGCAAGCCTTTACAAAATCCGGCTCTTCTTACAGATTACTGTAGTCTTGGTCGAGAACTGTGTCTGTGGAAAGTTGATGATGGCTACATAACATGGAAAAATGTCAGTCGTGAAGAAACTGCGAATTGGAACAAAAAAGTCAAATCAGCATTGAATGCCGATCATAAAGCATTTGAAGGTACGATAATGAAAATGTGCAAAGGTTATTTGACATCCCATTTTCTACTATGCTCAGTTCGTTAAAAAGTGTACCCTTATTTAAAACAGTGAGGATAGACCGTATTGTCTTTCAAAATGATTAAGCTTTGTGCTGTAACACTCGGTGTCACACAGTTTGCCTAGATACAGTGCGAGATTCAGAACTGAGTTCACTTTTGGACCAGATCCTTAGTCTAGGCAGGACGGAATAATTCAGGGAAAAGGCCTCTTTACTTACCTTGCCCCCAGATCCTTTTGCATTCGGTCGCTCCGACCTTCGCTCCATTCCCGAGCTGAACCTGTTCCTAGATTCAACTGAATTTGGGAAAGGACCTTTCTATCTTTACAACTTTAATTACATTTTGACTTTGTACACAGTGACCCCTAGAGAGAAAGACGAATTCATAGTTATCCTACCACTAGCCGAGTTTGGAAATATTTCAGTTCCAATTGCACTTGAAAATGATCTGAAAGCTGTAACTGTCTGCGTTTGGCTCCAAACAAACCAATCCGTTGTGGACATAACATACTGGACAAAATTGGCGGATTGTCCTGAAGAATCAGCTCTCGGAATAAATCTCAATAGCACCATCACAGTTACTGTCTTGGAAGAGGAATGGTGTGTAGTACTTGATACTTAAAAATAATGAACCGAAATTTCGAGCCAGTAGATTACTGGATACTGGACTATTGCCGTTTTACTGGAATTTTATTTAGCACTCTGCGCCGTAAATGTTCTAAGTGAGGCGATTAGTTAGTTTGGGGATAGATCTTGTTCGGTCAGGTTGTGGTTTATTGGGTTAAATTAATTTGGCAAAGAGAATAGACAGTTTTCAGCTTTTGACTGCAGGAAAGTCCCGTCATTTGTTGCTGATCAAGAGTGGCATCATGTTTGTCTGACCTGGTCTTCATTTGGTGGATTCCTCAAAGTTTTTGTCGACGGACTGAAACTTGTCAGCACGTCTGATTCTAGTATCGACACTCTGGACATCAGAGGTATTATTAAAAAGCAAATATGAATTTCTTTAAAAGTATCCTACATCGTACCTCGATATCGCGTAAAAATGCTTAAGTGAACGATGGAAAAATAATCTTGACTCTAATCCTGAACGACGAACTAATTCTTATCCAGAACTTTAACTTATTCTTATGCTTTCCAACATTTCACCATAACCAAATCCTTTGTGGTAATCAATATATATATGGTTGGAAGGATAACCAAAAGCTAATCAATAATTCGTTTCACGTTATAATTGCAATTTGATGGACACCCCCAAACATCCGTTCAAAACACTGCATCGTGTGCTCTGCTCATAAGGATAATTAAATTACTCATTAATCATCAGGAAGAGGTCGTCTTACTGTCAATTGCACCGATGTTAAAAATTCAACAAAAGTAGACGCCTGCGGTCGTACAAGTGATCTTAACTTATGGGAAGGTGCACTCGATGAGGAAGAAATTCAACGAATGTCTTTAGGGTGTGGAATGAGAGACGGTGATCTCATGGCTTGGAGGAGCATGATTAGTGGAATCATAGGAGACACCCATGTTCATTACGATACTTCCGCATGTCGAGACGTGACTGGTAAGTGAATGCACCCACCCATGTAGTACATTTTAGGAAGTTAAACCAAACAGTGGCGTCTTAAAATAGATTGTTTTCACTTGTCGCCACGGCGCCATTTTGTTTACGAAATCAATATAAAGGCGGTCTTGTGTACGGATCAAGTCAGTCCTAAGGAATTTTATCTCTTTTACATCTTTTTAACCAATGCATTAACATAGCTGCTCAACACGGGATCGAAACTTTGTAATTACCTGGAGGTGATAAAATTTCTTCGCTCATTGACCTGTTATACAAATACTTTTTTCGGTGAAGCCCCTTTCCGTTGTTGGTTTTTTTATGTTTCGGCTTCTTTGACCACTAACTTAAAATCAAGGGCCGCTTCTTCTAAACAAAGTTCAGGTTTGACTCTGATGTTGGGCATTACATGGATCTAGAGGTTTTGAGTGACTGGTTTGTTTGAAGTATGCAAATATAGTTATCTAGAAGTATTCCTCTCCCCATTCAAAAACTATTAATGTTATGTTAGAACTTTCGGCAAAAGAAAAGATCACTGAGAAGCAGTTTGACTAAACAATGGTAAAGTTTACGTTAATAACCCACAGCATGTTTCATCACAGGTAATCGCCTTGCGGCGTATTCTCTTTCAAGTAACATTACAACAGAGCAAGCTCGCGTATGGAGCCCATGGTATAACAGATCAGCTGATGGTTATGGTAGATGCCTGAAGTTCCGATACATGATTCTTGGAGTAGGCAATAACAACTTACGGCTTTACCAAATAATGGGGAACAACTCAAAGGAAAATCCAATCTGGCAAGGTGACTCAACAAGGGACGACACCTGGCAGTATGGTCAAGTGTCAGTTACAGGGATCACAGAACACCAAGTAAGATATTTTTTAAATATTATAAAAATAACTAGGGAATAATTAGTAGTTGCTACTAACTGTTAATAAAATTGAATATTTACAGAAATAATTATTCATATGATAATTATGAAGTTTTGGTTATTTTTCTGACTTATGAAATGATTGAAGGTTACTTTGACTCCAGGGCCCCGGTTGTTCAAAGCTGGTTTAGGGGTTAGTGTGCTTTCTGATTTCAGATCTGAAAGCCTCAAAGGAAACTTTATTATTTTTAAAACATAGAAGTTAAGAAACCTGGATTAAAATTTAACCTTAGCTCAGCGCTAATCGGCCCCTGAACAATTTGTCACCGGGGTAAAAAGTTCTGGGGGCAAAGGGATCTTGTTAAATGACAAAAAATGAATTTGCATGAAAGGCATTGCAGTATCCTCTTAACAATGCGATAAACTAGACATAACTTAGCCGCAGGTAAGTTTTTGCCATAGCAAGCAAACAAGCAAACAAGCGAATCAAAAAGCTTGTAGATGTAAAATTTTATTTCGAATGGTCACAATTTGCCTTCAATTCTTACTCGGAGTCTTTGATAACGAGAATAGAAATTTAGTTTCGAAAGGTCACAATTTGCCTTCCATTCTTACTCGGAGTTTTTGATAAGGGGAATAGAGAGACTTCATGTTCGACTTACTTTCATATAATAGTGCGGCTATGTCACCTTACCATATTGTTCAGTATGGAAGTGACAACTACGTCAAGTAAATCAGCCCTGGAATACAATTACATTCTCCATTTCACTTTACCTCTCACCGGCGGAAGCGAATCTAGTGCACTTCCGTGTTCTTTTGTTGCAGCTCATTTTTGAAGGAAACCTGGAAGACCAAATAGGGTTTATTTCAATAGGAGCACTTTACTTCATCAATGGTTATTGTTCCCCAGAGCCAGAAGCAGCTGCAAGAAGAGGTAAAGAGCAAAAAATACGTGAATTAATTACCAACCGTGTGGTCGAGATGGCTGGATATTGGCGGAGTTCATATTTGGGGTTTTTAATGGTAGAGACTAAGTCAAGGTCCATATAAAGGCAAAGGAAGATGGATGCTACTTTCCGGCCACCCTGACCAAATAACCTTGGTCAATAAAGTATTCATGATATACCTAAAATATTTCGTTTCAATCAGAATCAAGAATGATTTGTCAATTTTGAAGCGCTGGGAAATTCATCTCACATTGTGTTTTAAGAATTTTCCTGTTTCATGGCGCAAAAATAAACTCAGAGAACTTATTTATGTTTACTCTCTTTTCACTGTCTCATGCCACTTTTTGCGACATTTTCAAAAACAATATGATTTTTGTAAGTCTGCTCGACGCAATTTTTTTGCTTGCTCTGGATTAAAGCGGGAAATCCCGAGTAGGCGAGATGGGCCAATCTTTCTGCTCGAGTGGCCAATCAGAATGCAGAATTTGCTTCATCTTTTCCGAGGGTGCTGCCAACCATAACATAATATTGTTATACTGAAATAGATATGGATAAGATTGTGTTGATAAGATTGTGTTGACAACCAACCATAGGGTCTTTCTTACTGCAGTTACTAAGCCATTCACCTCGGACTTTCTACTTCTCTGACAATTGCATCTTCCGACGCCAACTCTTTCAAAAACAAATGCCATTGAACTATAACATTACTGTACTAAACCTTTTATGAAATTATTCATCTTCAGCATGCAGGGAGCTCTTCACGGACAAAACTGGTGTTATAACGTCACCCTACTACCCGGGATATTACGCAAATGACAGTTGGTGTGAATGGCTCGTCACCGCTGCGATTGGTCACGTGATCAGACTTGAATTTTTTTACTTTCAGCTGGAAGCAACTGAACCTCAATGTTTAAGTGATTATGTTGAAGTATTTGACGGAAATTCGACATATTCTACTTCGCTTGGCAGATTTTGTGGTCATACGCACCCTGCAATGTTGGAATCTTCGTCGAATAATTTGCTCGTCGTGTTTAAATCTGATAACAAGGGGATGCGTACGGGTTTCAAAGCTTACTACGACATGAGGAAAGGTGAAGTACTTTTTGTCTTCTGAAAACTTTTACTTGAGGAAATTTCTCTTTTTTTGCGATATAATTTTTCCACGTTTCTGTTTCATGCAAAAAAAAAATCGTGGTTTTGGCCCAGCCTTACTTCACCATCGCGACTTGAGTCAATGTAGTTCGACCCTCAAAATGTGTGCAGTCGATGAATGTGCAGACATCGAAGAAATGCCAACAATACAACGACATAGCATATACATTTTTTTGCAAGAGTTAATTACTTCATTATGATAATCCTCCCAATTTGCTTTTCAGATGAGAGGGATAAATGTAAAATGAAACCAGGTAATAACATCTTTGGTTGTCCACCATAGCCTCATCTACTAGTCCCAAAACATTGTAAACTTAAAAAATATTTCCGAGTTCGTTTTCATAGCTCGTCCACCAATAAGGCAGATTCACGGCTGAAGTCGATTTGGAAGCATTTAGTCGCCGAAAAAAAAATAAGGATATCCAGGCATTATATCGATTAGTGAAAAAAGGAGAATTTGAATCGGCAAATGGAGAGATATCAGTAAATAGTTCAATAAGTTCCAATTTCTGTGGCCCACAACCACTTTTATTTTACTTTATGCAACTCTTGTTACATGCAGAAAAATTTTCAATTTGAGATTTATAACGACTAGAAAACCTGAAAAGTACTGTTGATTTATCTTAGTACACATTGTTTGCGTAGATTGTCCAGTGGGTTGCACGTGTTACATTACAAAAGGACCACCGTCACAGTACGTGTTGGAAGGGGCAGAATACATGGAAAGTATACCATGGAATTTATCAAGTCTTACAACAGTGCTGTAAGTCAAGTAATTAAGTTATTCAATTGTTTTTCGTTTTTATAAAAAGCACGAAAGCTCAGAGGAATTCTTACCAAGGTCTAGCATAAAATGTGTTTGATATTTCTTAGCTGAAATCACCTAAAAAAGCTGCAAACAATTGGTAGAACATACCCCTTATCAAATGATTCGATTCGCAGATCACAGCCCGCATCGATCATTTGCTCTCAAAGTTGTTCGGACGAATTTTGTGACCATTCAAAGGCAATGCAAACGTCTTGAAGCCTTGCTGTTTAGCTCTTTATACTTGTAGCCACTGGCTACCTACGTTATATACCATCCAAAGAAGCTCACATAGATTTTCTATAATTTGAACACCTGTTTTTGTTTTGCTGGTAAAGCTCTATTTCTTCGTGTGACAAGCATGTAGAGCCATTCCTCCCTAGTGGGTTATTTTTAGGTTTCCTGTAATTAATAACTAGTATTTGAAAAAATTGATTAACCCTATATTACACATTTTTTAAAACGAGATTTATCTGGAGGATTCTACATGATGATGCGCGGATGCAATCAACACGCAAAGATAAATTCGTATCCGCAAGCAGACTAGCAGTGTACTTGTAAACATACAGAAATCAATGAGCTTTCACCGACAATCTCTCAGCACATTTTAAAACTCCCAATGCTAGGATCAACTTCACCGGACAGGCTACGGAGCCGGGTCGCTTCAAAATGCCTGGCCAATTTTCGGAGCAGTCATGGAGTAGGAGGAGAATTAGATTAAATCTTGTAGAATGACTGCTCCCACAATCTTGCAGTTGATGAATAGACAATTTTAGTGTACAAAGGGTTTTGGTTCGTCCACAAAAAAACGAGGTGTGCCCTGTAAATTCCTTCTATTGCTTATTTACATCATGAGTATTCTTTGCCTTTCTTGTTTACCGCTTTCAATAAGGATAAGAACAAGTGGCTCATGGTTTCATGAGGCAACACATTCTCACGAGTTCTTTATGCAAATTGAAGAACAGTAGAAGCAGGCAAGAATTATAGTTGTTGGAAACTAATTTTGAGTGTCCTGAATTTCTGAAATCTTGTCATTTCAGCATCCGTCATGAAATAACACAAGCTATCGTTACCAAATGTGGTAAAATTTCTGCTCAGCCCCATCCTACATTATGCATTCAGTTCTTGAACAGAGAAAACAATACATTTCCATTAGGAGAACAGATTTGTTTTACAATAGTACGGAGCTGTGCGGAAACTTTACCCCAAATGTTTACAATACAAATCAAAAAGGAGGGAATGTAACCTTAGTTAGTGGGTTCTCTCTGTACGGTAAAGATCTTTAATCACACACAACTCGATGTGACATATATAGATGACCACTAAAGAAAAATTATAACCAGGGTGTAATACGTTTTTGATCCAAATTACGAATACTATGTTTTCAAAAATCTCGTGCGACAGGCAATATACATATATTCACCTAACGCGACGAAATGCTGTAATTGCTGTTTTGTCAACCAAATTTTTTTTTTCTTCCACTGGCTTGAAATATTGCAATACATGTAAACCTTTCTAATGTTTCGTTTTTGTCTATTTTGGAATTTACACATGTGAACGGATTTTTTTCAGGTGCATCATTGAGTATTTCATAAGGAATTTCCCTTCTCACTTTTTGGGGCTGAATTTCAAGCGTACAGATGATAATACGTCTTTTGATTGATTCATATTTTAATGCTGCATGCGGGAAGATTGAAATCTGTCACCTGGCTTCTTTCCAGTGGTAGTTGCTTCCCGACGACTACACATTCATCAATTTTGAGGAACGGAAGAAGGTTTTGCTTCAGTGCAGTGTTTTCAAACGTTTATAAAAAGAATCTGTTGATAACAAAGGAAAGTCTTTATTGTGACAGAGGTTCCTTTTTTTTTCTCTGAGATGCAAAACCATTTAAATAGTAGTGTAATGGTTGGTAAAAAAAATTGACATATGTCAGCATTAATGCCCTGAAATTACATATACGAGTTTGAAATTAATGGAGATTACAGGAAAATATGTAAGAATTATCGAATCGCCGATCTTTAATATTAAGAAAAGAGGTGATGAATCGAAGAAATTGTTTTGTCTCATTTCAGGAGCGTCGGAGTAGATAAAATTATCCCTTTTTTTACTAATAGCGAGGGTAGTTCATTTATGGAAGGCAAGAAGATCGTCTATGGAAGGCAAAAAGAAGTAAGATTGAAATGTACCTTCCGACTTCAAAAGCTCGAGATGAAACGGAAAAAAAAATAACAGTACGAAAAAAAAAGTAAATTTCAAACTTGAAAAGGCACTGTCCTTGGAAACTTGACCCTCATTTTTAGTTTTTTTCACTGCTTAGTTTCAGAGACACTCCAGGTTTTTTTGCTGCAGCGATAGCTATAATTGCGAATACGTAAAATTTCGTTGGTAATCAAAAACATGTCACAGGAGTTGTCAAGATGCAATAGGAATAAAAATATGATTACATATCTCGTGACCCGGGCGTCTACAAGCCTTTCACTTTTACATGCAATGAAATTAAGAAAGTAGGATGTTATAATCTGTACAGTACGTATGCTTTCTATACTTTTTTGACAAAGTTTACGATAGATGTCTATTACCGTAGTCGTGCTTCAAATTGGCTGCACTGTTGATGATTTAGGAACGGGCAGGTGAACGGGTAGCATGACTGTTTAATTTATGAATGAAATGGAAAGTGGGCGAGAATTCCTCGTTACAATGAGTTGAGAGATCATAGTTGTCGGGTGAATCCATTAAGACGTTTTAACACGACAGAGATGAATTCCTCTTTGTCAGAGTAGCTCATCACTCTAGTTTTTGATGTAAGTTTTCCTGCAAAAGTAACTCAATAGCAAGATGGACTTGAAACAAATATCCATTTCAAAGTTTACCGGTATTTTATAGGAAAATTGACTCCAAGAAATTCATGTGAAACTCGATAATTGTTTCGGCGAAACAAAAGCTTTTTACTTTCCTTCACTCAGATATATTCTATGAGAGCCAAAAAGCCAAGTTTTCCTCTATCTGTCTTAATTAAACGGGATCGAGCAGTTTCTTGTTTTTATCAGAGACAGGAAATGTCCTCTATCCATGTAAGCGATTGGCTAATAAATGCATTCGGTAAATATAATCTGACAATTTAAGCAATCGAACTATTTATGTACATACATTTCCAACTTTTCATTTTCTCTAACAAAACAGCTCAATTTCTGACACTCTTTAAGAGGTAACATCGGTCAATTGATGTTGGCCAACCAACTTGAAATACAAACAGGTTCAGCAAATTTTCTACAATGGAGTCCTTCGACAAGAACATTTCATATCCAAGGTATGTTGCTCCAAATATTACCAATTCGACTTGTGTTGCGGGTGATTCTACTGTAGAAATGGTGGCCAAGGCCTCAGCTTACTCCACCATTCTGGTTTTCTCCTTGGTTGGAAATGCAATCCTTATCCTGTCTATTGCAAAGAACAAGCAATCCCGAAAGTCAATCCACTTTCTCGTTTTCAACATGGCTGTGTCGGACTTATTCAACCCATTCACTCTCATGCCCATCCATCTTGTTCAGATCATCTCAGGATCAGTCTCCTGGAAGGTCGTCAGACCGTGGCTGCTGGGAAGCATATTATGCAAACTTTCCTACTTTCTTATAGATGTGTCGCTGGTCGTTTCCATTGAAAGCCTTTTATTGATATCGGTAGACAGATTCATTGCTGTACTTTTCCCACTTAAAGCTAAGCTCATCTCTTCAAAAGTGCGCCTTGTTGGCGTTTTATGCACATGGATTGTCGCCATCATGGTCCACGCGCCCTATTTCTATGCGTACAAACTTACTCCAGAGGGTAATGAAGTTGTTTGTAGGCTTAACTGGGGACCGGCATTTGTCCACAAGCAAACACACAAGAGATTTGTCACGGCGACTTTCATCACTTTCGTCCTCGTTCCTATTGGAGTCATGGCTATCGTGTATGGCACGATAGCATGGAAGCTGAAGAGAAGCAACACCAAACAAAAACAGCAATTGGGTTGTAGACACAAATCGCGTGATGAACAACACAAGAAAATTGTCCGAATGTCGGTGGCTATAATAGTTGCTTTCAGTTTTTGCACGATTCCACTTTCTGTTTACCTTTTCGCTCAAATTGTCCTATGGGATAAGGGATTGCCTCCCGTCTGTGCATTTCAAACGGTGATTCTATTTGTGGTCAAATTTTTGTTACATTCGTGGAGCGCTGTAAATCCTTGTGTTTGTCTCATCTTCAACAGTAAGTACAGGAGTGGCTTAAGACAAATTCCGTCATTTCTC